ACAGATCTCCCCAACCCGCATGACAGCATAGCTGACACCAGAGGTCATTTCGAGGGGGATCACGGGGGATCGCAGTTCCCCCGGGTGAGGTACGGGGGCGGGGCACATGATGAAGCCCCGCCCCCTGCTTCTGGCCGCCCCACTTCCGGTCCTCATTCAGCCAGGAGGAGGCAGAACAGGGAGGGTAAGTTGCTTCCTCCCCGCCTCTCCCCACCCCTGCCTGCTTGGGGCCAGGGAGGGCCTCCGCGGGGCTTCCTTGCACTCCCGCTGGCCTTGCAGGTCCACCGCCGGGCCCCTGATGTCAGGGGGTGTGGCATATGCTAATGAGTTATGCTAATGAGTTCCCCTAGCTCTTTTTCTACGAAATGACCCCTGCCCTGGACACCTCTCCACTTGGACACCCGGCCAACCCAGGCTGCCGAGTTTGACTCTCAAAAGCTCCGGGACTGGCCAGCTGAAGAAGGGGACAGGATGGCAGTCTTCAAGTATCTGAAGGGCTGTCGTGTAGAAGATGGAGTGGATCTATTCTCTCTTGCTCCGGATTGCAAGACTAGATCTAATGGGTGGAAATCACAAGGGAGTCGATACCGGCTGAATATCAGGAGAAACTTTCTGACTGTCAGGGTGGTTGAGCCGTGGAACAGTCTGCCTCGGGAGGTGGTGGATGCTCCTTCGCTGGACGTTTTCAAGCGGAGGCTGGACAACCCTCTTTCGGGGATGTTGCAGGGCTATCTTTCTCGGCTCTGCTGCAGAGTGCAGGGGGTTGGACTAGATGACCTGCAAGGTCCCAGTTCCAACTCTGACATTCTGTGATTCGATGGTTCTAAGAACACCAGAACACTTGCCCTGGTGGGTCAGGCCAATGGTCCACCCCCTCCAACACTCTTGGGTCACACAGTGGCGAAAGCCCAGCGGCCCCCAGTGGGTGGGGCTTCTCCATCTCTCAGATCCTCTAACCCCCCCTCCCCCCCAACACGCCCTTTCCTCCTGCTCAGGGAAGAACTTTTCCTGCAGGTGCTCCAGTCTGCTGGAGGAAAGGGGGAAGAAGTCCTGACACTCGCCTGGTCTTCTACACAACAGCCCTTCAGATACTTGAAGACTGCAATCGTGTCCCCTCTGAGCCTTCTCTTTCCCAGGCTAAACAGACCCGACTCCTTCAGCCTTTCCTCGTAAGACCGGGATTCCAACCCTCTCACCATCCCGGTTGCCCTCTTCTGCACACGCTCGAGCTTGTCAGCATCCTCCCTAAAATGTGGTGCCCAGAACTGGACCCAGGACTCCAGGTGAGGCCCCTGACCAGAGCAGAAGAGAGCGGAACGACCACCTGGACACAAGGCTCCTGCTGACGGATCCCAAGACTGCATTAGCCTCAATCAAGGGGTGCCGCCTCTGCTGATGAACTAGGAACCAGAAAGGCTGGAACTGTCAGCACAGCACTGCTGGGGGGGGGGAGCAGAGACACCGGGGCCACTACAGATGGCCCCCCCCAAAGGCCGAGACCCCCGGCTCCTGAGAGGGAGGCCCCCCTCCCCTCGCCTCTTCAGGACCCTGCAGGAGGCGGCCTGCACCATTTCCTCAGACACTTCCAGCAGGTCTCTCTCTCTCTCAAGTCTTTATTGCATTTATATAATATATATATATTTAAACTTTTACAATAATTTTAACTTGATAACATCCAAGTTTAATTTGGTTCTTGTCTTAATACATATAAAATTAGGCCTCTAAACAGCAGTAAGGGGGAAATATCTCTTTTCCCCAAAGAACAAATGGATAACTCCGAAGAGGAAGAGAAAAAATAACCTCCTGTCCAAGGATGGGAGCGGAGCCCTCCCCTCTCCTCCCCGCGGCCACGAGGGAGGGGGAGAGTGTCTGTGTGGGGGGGGAGGGGCCATCAGCTCCTCTGCCTCTGCCTGGAACTGGACTTTCCTTCGGGGAGGGCGGGGCAGGAGACGGGTCAAGTGCAAATCACCAATATGTACAAACTAGAGGCAAGCAAACTCTGCCCAGAGCCTGGCGGGCAGGCGGGCGGCTCCTAAGGGAGGGAGGGAGGGAGGGGCGCCCCATAAGCTCAGCAAAAGGCATCCTAGGCAGCCCACTGGGCGGCGGCGGCTACGGGAGAGGAGAGAGAAAAAACACAACGAAAAACAATGAGGGCAGAATGCCCCAAAAGGGGAGGGCGAAAGAGTCCGAGGGCGCTCGTCCTGGAAGCAGAAAAAACCAGAGGGGTGCGGAGAGGGGAGGGGGGGACATGCGGTGGCACTCATCAGAAAAAACAGAAAAAATCCACGGGCCTCTGCCACATCCCACGGAGCTCCCACCAACAGCTCAAGGGAAGAAAAGAACTCACAACCCATTCCCCACAGCGCTGGGGGGTGGGGAGGCAGCCGAGACCCTGCT